ATGGGTAGTCAACAAAAGGTTTTTTTCAATTCATGTCTTTGCCTCTACTGCAGTACTTCTCAAAGTGTAGTCCAAGACTAATTTAAACAGAATTACCCAAGCCATCTGTTAAAAATTCAAATACCTGGGCTTCATCCCAGGCTTAGTGAACTAAACTCTCTGGATGTGGGTCCTGGAATGGGCAATTTATAAGTTTCTCAAGGCATTCTTTTCACCAAGTATTTTTATCCCAGTGCCTTTCACAAACCAGCTTTCAAAATGGTACTTTCCGGGAACATACAATCTCACTTCACACACTAGATGTATTCCTGAAAAGCTGCTAAGTGAATACTTGCACATGAGTACTTGTATACCAAATCATTATTCCCCTAAAGACTACCATGATTAATTTCAGAATTATGTTCACCCAGAAGGAAATAAACACGTTTCTGGAGCACTCAGCCTTTAAACAAACATTCTTTATCCATCTAATTTTTCTGTAGTATTTATGCAAATGGTTGGCCAAATGGGCTTATAATCCTCATTATCTTTATTCAGTTTTAAAGTACATGTATTTAAAAATTCAATATAATGTTAACACATTTCATTTTGATTTTGAACTGATTTCATTGGTCCTAACTGGTTAGGTACCACAATCAAGTGGCATTTAGCAGAACTCAGGCAGGAAGTGCCACAGGGAGATGGTTTTCAGAAAATACAAAAACTGAAGTTTGTGATTTGGACTCTAACAGCAAAGATATCCCTTTATGTAGTAAGCTCTGCTAACAAAAATATTTGTCAATTTATTACCAATTGTATGAGAGGTGAATCGATTCTATTTTAAGATCGGAATCATAGCTAACAACAATAACAAAAACTACAACTACAAATAGCTAACATTTATTCACTTACTTCTTATCAGGCCCTGTTCTAAATCCTTTAAATGGATTAACTCATTTCATCTTCACAACAAGCCTGTGAAGTAAGTACCATTTTAGACCTCATTTTCCGGATAATGTAGCTAAGGTACAGAGAGTTGTGTAACTTTCCTGAGGTCTCACAGCTAGAAATAGGAGCTAAGAGTCAAACCAGGTAGCCGGTCTCTAGAGTCTGTACTCAAAGGTAGTGTGCTACACTGTGATTGTAAGAAAGTCTCAGATGTTGAAGTAGTTAGCTGTCACTGTAGAGACAAAGTCTTGCTGTTTATATTCGGGGATTTTTTTTTTCTTCTGTTCTTTATACAATTGATTTCAAGATAACTTGGCTCTATCTTGGATCCCTGCTCAGTTTAGTTTAGTTATTAGATCTCATTATAATGCACTTTATATATGATAGGAATACCCAAAATAGCATAAAGATGGGAATTCAGTATTACATTATACATAAAAATAGAAATCTATTTTTAAAAAATACTTAATTCTGTATATAAGGGCAGGATAGCATAACAGTTTAGAGCTGTGCTTCTCAAATTTTAATGTACCAATAACCTGGGAATCTTGTTTAAAAATGCAGATTTTCAGCAGGTCTGGGGTGGGGCCTGAGATTCTGTATTTCTAACAAGTTCCCAGGTCAAGGTGATACTGCTGGACTACACTTTGAGAGCAAGGGCATAGAGTGTGACCTCTGGAGTCACACCTATTGTGTTTGAATCCCAGCTCTATTACTTCTGTAACCTTCTCTTGTGTGCCTCCACCACATCTGTAAAATAGTGAGATCATTCAAGGGTTGCTATGAAGGTTATGTGAGATAATCCATGGATAGTACTTAGAATAGTCGCTGGCATATAGAAAGCACTCAATAAATATTATCTCTTAATATATAGAAACTATTAAAAGCATATATTGTATCCCATTAGAAAGCCATTTACAGAATTGACTGACATAGCAGAAACACTAAATAAAATTTCATCATTCTTTTCCAGGCAGTCACTAGAACATCACTGTACACTGAAGGACATTAAATACATAAGTTAGATCCACTACCCAGCTTTATTAAATACATAAATCTAAGACTGTTCTAAATGAGTTTGCATGAAGTTGGCTTGGCATATAATATTTAAAGAGAATATTTTTTTTCTCTGCCAGAAAACTTTTTTATACTGCAAATATACAGTGAGTTCCAATTCATTTATTTGAATAGCTTCCTCTGAATTTAGAAACAGCCATTTTTGTTTAAAAAATTTCACTTTTATCAAATAGAAATCAGAACTACTATTAGTATGAACAATAATACTGATTTAAAAAATTTCTTCAAACAAAGGCACTAATATAGTTTAAAGATTTTATTTATTTATTTTTCCCCCAAAGCCCCAGTACATAGTTGTCTGTCATAGCTGCACATCCTTCGCTAGTTGCTGTATGTGGGACACGGCCTCAGCATGGCTGGAGGAGTGGTGCCTCGGTGCGCACCCGGGATCCGAACCCGGGCCGCCGGCAGCGGAGAGCACGCACTTAACCGCTAAGCCACGGGGCCGGCCCCGCTAATATAGTTTAAATAAGCTTGGAGGATTTAGCAAAAACCTTCACAGACAAGTGTACACATTTTCAAACCATGATACAATGCAGCATAATTAGCTCTTGCTATTGAGGACTAGGGCTTAGAAAAAATATTATTTGTCAGAATTGTGATGATTTAATAATGATGTGATATGGGAGGGTCCAGTGGACAGGAAAGGTAAAGTTAGGACCAGAAATGAAGATAAAATTTCACAGCATCATCCCAAATGTAAACTATTAGAATTTTTTCAAATTCAACACTACTTGAAAAATAAAGAAATAGAAGGAATGGAATGGAGTACATCAGAAAAGAAAGATTAATGTTTGGCCAGTCATTGATAAAAACCAGGAAGGGTAAAACCTGGTAGTTCAGTCAAGGAGGAGATGAAAGCTATGAAGTATTTTGAGTTGGTCAGTATCTTTACGAGTCAGCAAGAAAAGATCAATACATAATTTGCTTCTCTTTTCATCTTCTATTTCTGTAACACAGGTGATGAAAACAACAACTATGAGAAAGATTCTAATACATTTATTTTTCTAAATTAAAATGAGATCCAGCATAGGCAGTGCAGACTTGCCCTGTAAGATCATGACAGGTAAGAATCAAGGAAAAAGGAGGAATCTGGGGGAGTAGATTATTTGCTCCCTCCTCTCCTCCCTTTCTCTCTTGCCCTGCAGAATGCTCCTGGCTGCTTCTTTAATGTCCAGTGTGGTACTGGAAATTTTTTTTAACACACATCACAACATATAGGATTTTACTTTACATGTTACTTTCTATAACAAGTGTTATTTTAAAAAACAAGACTTTAGGGGCTGGCCAGGTGGCGTAGTGGTTGAGTTTGCTCCGCTTCGGCAGCTCGAGGTTCACGGGTTCAGATCCCGGGCGCGACCTATGCACTGCTCATCAAGCCATGCTGTGTTGGCATCCCATATACAAAACAGAGGAAGATGGGCAGAGATTTTAGCTCAGGCCCAATCTTCCTTAGCAAAAAGAGGATTGGCAACGGATGTTAGCTCAGGGCTAATCTTGCTCACAAAAAAAACCAAAAACAAAAAAACCAAGATTTTACCCTAAAAATACCTGCAAAGAAGTGCTTAAAGGAGTGCCATATGGAAGTTTTTAAGGGAGGATTTATCTATACTCAACTATATTGAATAAGGATTCTTAAAATGAAATAATTATCAGGTTTAACTTGTACTTTTAGTTAAAAAAAAATCAATTGTGGGAATTGTGATTCTTAATATCTATAGAGGTGATAACCAACAAGATCAAATGGTTAGGATTAGAGGTACAAGAAGAATAGAGCGTGAACAGAATTACATCAACATCATGTCTTGTTTGGGTTTATATTGGTCTGAATCAAATTTTTGAAAAACAGAAATTTACTGAAATGCCTGAGCTAACTTTTTCCACTTATAAGGCAGGTATTAGCTGTCTCTCAACACCAGAGAAGCAAGGAATGCCACTTCAGTGTGACCTATTTATGCCTCTCAGATTTATCATATGCATTTTTTAATGACCCCAAACCAAAGGAAATGTAGAAACCTATTTGAAAATCTGACATTAAGGTTGTGACACCAACCAAAACAATAAGAGAATTTAAAGTTAAACTGACACACAATCCCCAAATCAGTCTGTTACACTCCTAATTTAAAAACCAGTTACTATGTGAAATAGTGATGGCATGTCAGCCTCTGCTTTGAAACTCCTGAATTTTGTCATTTGGTGTTTGTGTCACAACCTCAATATTATTTAAATATACTTTTTAATATCTATTATTTAAAAAATATCTTTGAATTGAAGATACTCCTAAAGCTTTGAAGAAGCCAACCTCAAAGCACTCTATTCCTAGCATGCCACTTTTATTAGAAGTGGTGCATAAAACATTTGCTGTTGACAAATCTAATTCATTAAAAGGTGAGATGGATGCATTTTAAAATAACTGGCTGGCATCATTATCTGCAGTGCCTTTTATAAATTATTCTTCTTTTCCCTTTTGACTGAACTTGTCACAGTTCCCTTTCAGAGTCTGAGTGTTATGCCTTATAGTCAATACTTTCAACATGTTTAGACAAGTCATAAGTTAAACAAGCAGTGGTACTTTATTTTCTAGAAATGAGAAAGGGTAGCAGAAATATCTACAGATTATTTCATTCAATTCATTGATTTTTAACTAAAGACAAGTAAAGTTAGTAGTGGTTTCATCCCACACAAAGGATTTAAAAATAAAACTATACTATTTGGGTAGAAGGGAGAATTTCAAAGAAAGGAACATAAAGAGAGATTCTGGCAGCCCTGCTGCACTGTTGTGCAGAAGACTTAGTTTAAAATTGAATTGTGCTTCCCCTGACATCGGAGATCAGGGACATCATAAGGTTGACAGCTGGCTGGCACACTAACTTCCTAAAGGAAAATGCTAACTGTATTTCTCTTAGAGGCCAAAGGAATAGAAGTACAGAAGTCTTCAAAGAAACTGAGTAGGCAGAGTACAAATTATTCAAAATAAGAAGAAAAACATTTCTTACCTAATTTTGTTTCAGAAGACTCTAAGAATGAGCTGGTCTTCTAATTCTAAGTAGGTGGAAAATTATTTCCTTCTGAGTTGTCAGTAGGGAGCTGCCTTTTCTTTAGTATCTTCAGCAGAGTTATTTCCAAAATATACAAAATGCACCTATAAAATAATTAGATAAAATTTTATCACTGCCACAATGGAGGGGGCATAGTCACATTAGTTGTCTACATTGGTAGTGACAGTACTATCATTAAGTTATGACATGCAGGCTTACACCAAGAGATGCTGGAAATATGGAAATACATAAAGAAATGCTGAAGTTGGGGTACCTAAGAAAAGCTTATTAACTAGATGATCCACAGATTATAGGCACATAAATAACAGAGGCACCCAGGAAAATGCATATTCAAAACATTCCTTTTATTTTCATTGATTTTTCAAATGTTCCTAAAGAAATGTAGATCATAGAGAGTAAAAGATGGTGGCACCACATAAAATGAGCAATGCTTTTCAATCCAATTACTTTTCTCCTGTTTAGTTACCAGTTGCCCCAGAATAGTTTATTAAAACCATCTTTTCCCCACTCTTCTGGGTTATCTTGTAAGACTCTGATTCAGTTGATCTGGGGTTGGGCCTGAGATTCTGTATTTCTGACAAGCTCCCAGGTAATGCCCCAATGTTGTCGGTCTATGGACTACACTTTCACTAGTAAGCTTCCACCAGTCTATTTGTCTTTCCCTGAACCCAAGTACACTGTTGTTATTCTTGGCTGTTGGCCCTTGTCTTTCCATAAATTTTAGGATCTTTTGTCAAGTATCTCCCTCCTCACCAAAACAGACAGGAATTTGATTGAGAGTGCATTGATCAAATTTGGCATCTGTAAAACGTCGAGTTTTCTAAGCCATGTGAATTGTATATCATTCCCCTTACTGAGGTCTTATTGTCACACAATAATGCTTTACTATTTTCCCCACGGGAGTTTTGCACATCTCGTTAGATGTACTCCCAGGCACTTCATATTTTGAATGTTAGTGTAAATAATATCTCTCTGCAAAAACTTTTTCATTTTTTGTTTATATATGTATTATTTGTATAATTTTTGTATATTGATATTTTTATCCAGGACATTTGCTAAAGTCTTATTTTTTTTTGTAGTTTTATATCATGTACAAATAATGAGTTTTACTTAATTCCAAAATCTACATTTTTTATTTCTTTATCGTGCCTTACTAAAAGAAAAGAAAAAAAAGTTAAATAATAAATGTATTATTTAATAGAAAGACTATTTTCTTATCTATAGTCAGCCAAACTGATCTCTTGGTTAGGCCTATGTCAACTAAAAAGTGATATGAAGAAGAATCCAAATGTTTCTTTTGATATTTATTTATTGTCCTCACACTTCTTAACTTTCCCTGGTGTCTGATAAACAAGTAGTTCAATGTTACTAACATCCATTATCCCAAGCTGACTTCTAGTAAGAAACAGAAAAAAACCCTCATGGACAACTTCGCCACTCTGGGAACTGAATCTGAACAAAAGGGGAAACAGGAATTATAATGAGGGAAATGGTTCAGTTCCATCTAAGAACTAAGGTGGAGATGCCAATGCTAGGAAGCCACAACAGAGATATAACACATCACCTATACTCCATAGCTGAATCACAAGATTTCTTGGAAAACCCATGAACAACTGAAATTGCTTTCTTGATGACAGTGTCAGCCTGCTCTAGGGCGAATTGCCTTTCTTGATAGCTTTCAGCCAATCTGTTAGACCAAAAGAAAAAAATTGAGACTTAACTGTTTCACAAAACTGTCCATGTTGTTAATATTGGTTACCCGAGGAAAGGTAAATGCGCACGATAGTGGGATGGAGGAAAGGGTAAAGAAAGAGAAGGAGGCAGTAAATAAAATAATAATAACCATTATAACAATGATAAAAACACAACAAATTGCGTCTTTAAAAATGTGTTCATAATCCACTACAAACAATAATTATGAAGAAATACAACAATGTAGAAAATGCTGAAATGGAGAAGTGAAAACAAAACCCAAGAGAGCACGTACACATTACATTGCAACCATTTTAAAAATATGTGCACAAAATTTTTGGTTAGGAAGATCAATCAGCGTATGTTTTCCCCCCTCTCCCTCCAGAGATTCCCTTAAAAAGATAATAAAAAAAAAGATGTGTGTTTGGGGTAGGGGAGAGGATGTAAACCTGTTGATGCAAATAATCCATAATCAATCTAAAAATCAAAATTGGGGTGAGTTTATTATAAGCCCGGGAGGACTACCCTAGGAGAACTTTTCCACCAAGGAAGGAAGCTCTCTGAAGAAGTGGGGTATACAGACTGGTTATATACCATCTTGGGACAAAGAGCATACATCACATATGACAGGAATATGTCTTACTACTGTCACGAGCAGGTCAGTGGTCACAAGGTGAGCACAGAAGTCGGTGATCATCAGTCAGTGGTTGCGAGATGAGTTAAAGCAGGTTAGTAATTAATCCTCAGTCTCTGGGAAGAAATGCTTATCCTTAAAGAAATGCTGATATGGGGGAGGTAACATCTCTATCTTTAAGGGCATCATTCTTGGCTTTGGAACATTGTAAATGTTTAAAGCACATGGACAATGCATGCTCAACAGGCCATGTCATGACTTTCTGGAAAAACAAGATCAGGCTGAATTAGCTTTAAGCCAAATGGCTTCCTTATATACTCCAATATATCCTACGACTTTTCATTTATTCATCCAACCCATACCAATGAAGAGATTGAGAGAGCATCACTACAAATCTGTACAAGGTAAGACAGATGAAAGAGCATTCACCGAAGAAACAAAGTAGGAAAAGCCAAACTCCAGAATGTGTGCAGAGAGCACTGCAATTAAAGGAATGACCTGATACCTCTGGCAAAAGTGTGGAGTAAGAAGGGAAGCTAAAATATGCAATCAGTTGAAGGTCTGTCCAAGAAACATTGAATCTCCCTCCCCTACCTTTTTATACAAGCAAGTACTTTGTTTTTTTCTTGTCCATAGTTAAATATCTGACTGTGAGTAAGAAAAAAAAAATGTAAATGGGAGAAGCATTGTGTTTAAAGAAATTAATTAACTGTCTAGAGAACTAGGAAAGGTAGCATGAGTATGGGTACCCCAAAGAAGTCTGCCTCATTCTGGTCTTTAGCTGACTTCCAGCATACTCATGGTTCCCCAGCTATTTACTCTAAAGCAAACTGTACCAGTCAAATCAGTGCCATCCAAATATAGTTTGCAGGCAGCTTTTTGATGTTTCTCTTTTCGAATAAGAATGCACAGCCAAGGACCACTGGGCATATGAAGAAAATCTTTTCTTCCACATTTGAGACCAGTGTAAAACAAAAATTTACCCCAAAGAAAACAGAGATAAATCAATTAATACAACATGTAAATTTTCCATCATCCTAAGAGAGTAAAGAAAAAATTATACATAATACAAGACCAGAAGCAGGATTCCTAGCTATGGCTGAGTGCGATCAGCAAATATTCTTCCAAAAAATAAATTATAGAGCTAGACAAAACCAACAAATCAGCCATATCAGCGCTCTAGAAATTGACCAAAGGAATATAATAATTTGAGAAGCATTTATATTTGAAAAACTGCTAATCTTTAGGTAAGAATACTAGGACCCTGTGGCCTTCTGGCCTGGAGCTACTCTTACCACCATCAACCACAACTCAGTCAGTATAGAGGTTCTTCCAGGGTGGAGAAGAGCATTAGGACTAGAAACATCTTTGCTGTGGTCAAAGGCAGCTCACTTGAGCTTGAGTGGTAGGTGATGTCCACGCCCAGCAGTGTTTCAGTGGAAGTGATGATCTTAGAAGTGGCCAAGCAGGGAGAGCCAACAGCTCTATTAGTCCAAGGTCATCATCATAACTGGGGCAAACGTATTCTTGGCTAAGGCTGAGTATATGGAATGGAGACCAGAGAGGAACATAGCTAGCCACACATTCCTGAGGCTGAATGATCACATATAGAGAGGAAATATGCAAGAGCCCAGCAGAAAGCAAAAGCACTGCACACTTGGAAACATTGTTAAAAATTCCTCACTAAACGCTTTCCTCTATCAATACAGAGATCCAGGAGCAGATGACAGACAACTTACCAGCTTGAAGTGTTTAAGCACACAGTGTCTAACCATCGGCTTATCATTTAAGCTACACAGACAAAGGGGCAAGTCCTAGGAAGGCAAATGTAAAACTCAAAACAAGAATCTTAAAAAAAAACAAAAAACAGATACATAGTGGCCACACATCACAGGGGAGATAGATGTTACTCATTTAGCATAGGCAAATTACTAAAAAAAGAAACAAGCAAATAAACAAAGCAACAACAACCACCTTTGGGGAGGAAAAAAATCAGAATCCAGAGTTGCTACAACATATGATTAAAATATCCAGCTTCAACAAGAAATTATGAGACATGCAAGGAAATAGGAAAAAGCAGTCAATAGAAATCATCTGAGTGTCCCTAGATGTTGGATTTAAACAGACAAAGACTTCAAAGCAACTATTATAAATACATTTAAAGAACCAAAGGTGACCATATTTAAAGAATAAAAGGAAAGTAAGACAACAATGAATAAAAAATAGAAATTCTCAATAAGGAGACAGAAATGTTTAAAAAGACCCAAAAGAAAATTTTGGAGCTGAAAAGTACAATAAATGAAAAGAAAATTCACTAAAGGGACTTGACAACAGATTCAAGATGACCTGAAGAAAGAATCAGTGAATTTAAGATAGATTAATATAAATTACCCATTCTGAAGAACAGAGAGAAAAAAGAATTTTTTAAAAATGAAGGATAAAGGGATACAAAAAAAAATGAAGAAATAAGGAACAAAAACATACCAAATTTGATGAAAAACATTACGCATCAAAGAAGTTCAACGAACCCCAAGTAGGACAAACATAAAGAGACTGATACCTAGACATAACATAATCAAACTACTGAAGGGCAAAGGTAAAGAGAAAAATCTTAAAAGCAGGAAGAGAAAACTAACTCATCACATACAGGTGAGCATCAATGAAACAAAGGAGGTCAGAAATCAGTGGAATGAGAAATTCATAGTGCTGAAAGAAAAAATTGTCTACTAAATAGTCTATATCAAGAATAACTACCTT